GATGGGTGACCTCTTGGGAAGTACTCGTGTTGCACCCCTTTTTTGTCGAATTCGTAATTTTATTTGTTTTCTGTTATTTTGAGATGGGAAATGGTTTGGGACGCGTAGATCTCGAAAAAATAACCAATTTGAAAAAAAAATGTTTAATTCGGACGTTCGGGCATAAAGTTACGACATTTTGAAGGAAATCAGGTCCATTTTTTATGGTTCAAAATTGACTTTATCTCATAAACATGGTGACGTTGATGTAGTAAGGCTTAATTTAGTTTACGTTACACTGCATAGATATATATGATTAATTATAGTAGGCTTCAGATTATATCAGTTAGCATAACCACAATGTTATTGCCGCTATTTGGAAAACTATTTACATTCAAGTAATCGGAGTACTTTGTTAAAATGAATCTGATAGTTAATTAGTTACTTTCCAATTGTTCTTAAAACTGGGGTAATTGGTAAAAAAAAAAGTATGATTGTTTTTAAGAATTACAATTAACTAATAAATAAGCTATACAGATAAACCCTATGATCTTGGCGCCAAAATTAGGAAAAAATGTGGGAATGTTGTGTTTTGGGTGCCTATAAAAGGAAGGTCTCATACGGAGAGTTCCATCCTCATTTCAACCCCAACCAATTAACCACCATCCATCCCATAAATATTACGAAACCTTGATTTGTAAAAGAAAAAATTCTCCAAAAAATAAAATAAAAAGGGTTTTTAAAACAAAAAATGTCTTCACCAAACAAGCCCCCCCTCCCTCGTTCTCCCTGTTCCCTGGCCGATGAGAAGGCTAAGAAAATTGTTAAAAAATACCAAAGAACTAGATCAATGTTAATTAAAACCGTTCTGAAGAATGCGGATGAGTTCATAAAATTTCCTGATCATAGGAATGAGGTCCCTAGTGTGAAGGTTGAAGTGGGAGAATTTAGTGAGCCCTCGAACAAGAGCGTTGTGGACTCAAAAGATGTTCCAAATATGAAGGTCAAAATGGAGCCTTTTTGTGCACCATCTGGTAAGATTGTAGAGGAACATCCAAAGGAGCCCTCTGTGATACCGACCTTTGGACCATTTGCACCGCCATCTTTGACGCCTGATTCATTTGATTTCAATGAAGATGGCCCGGTTGTGGAAGCAGATATAATGAACGTGCCTGTTGACATCGACCTCGATGTCGCTGACCCTCCAATGGCGGAGGATGGTCACGAGAATTTCTCTATTGTTGTTAGAAGTCTCCGTCCGGGGGATGTAGGTGTGATGTACAACATCCACAACAACAAGCCCTTTGATAACATCTACTGTGACTATGCAAAGAAGGTCGATGTCTCCCCTAGGGACATTAGGTTGCTGATGTGGTCCGATGACCGTACCGTTCTTCATTGGCACAAGCTGTTGGAATCGCCAGGGCCTCTAGTAAAATAGTGGCGGAACTTGGGGGGTTATTTTATTAGCGTGTAGTATGAATCATGAAGTCGCTCTCGCAGCGGACAGGATGTACAGCTCAAAATTGGTGATGTTCTGTACGTCATTGGCAAGGTAAAATGGATTATATTTACATGTGTATTATTGTATTTCATGTATTGCATGTTGTACTTTATATCATGTTAGTAATTCCTTAGTTTATTAAGGGTTTACTAGAAAATGCCTGCAGTTAAATAATGTTAGGTTAATATCTTGCAACTGTATGTGTAGCCAAGTGTGCTGAACCTTGTGACAAGGGTCAAAGTGTTTTACATCACCGAAGTTTCTAGGGATCCAATCAAGGTGAAGGTGTCAGGGACATTGGATCAGCGATTGGTGAGTATGTTCCACAAATGGGCTGAGGCTGCTAAAGTGGATCCTAGTAAGGTGATTTTCATCCACGAAGGGAGGTCTTTGGCAACTATTGAAACCATCGGAGCGGCAAAGATAGAAAATGGAGACGAAATAGTCGCTTGGGCAACTAAGGAAAATTAAGTAAAGAGTACTGAAGAAGGGCGTGGTAGTAGTATTTTGGAAATAGGATGTGTAGCTAAAACCTCTCCCCCAGGTAGCTCGTATTAACCACTACCTTTTGTTGTATTAATAATGTAGTGGTTAAATAATCAATGTCTTTGTTGTTAAGGAAGGAGTAAGCATATGAAAATGTTCAGATCTACTGTATGTGTTTAGATGGGTAGGCTGGTAATCCACATAGTAGTATGTATCTTGGGCTGGCCCAAATTGTAAGTCATGTACTCAAGGTTTGTGAGAACCCATTTGAGCCGCTATATGAAAGATATGTATTAGTGCTTTTTATCCCAAATGTGTGTATTACTATTTTCCTTTGATTAGTGGTTTTAGTTTATTGGTATTTATATTTTTTGGTAAAATAAAATGGAATGAAAAAACAATACATTGGATTATCTTACAACAAACAGTCATGGTTCATTAAAACTTTGACAAGGAACACATATATTGTCTGGAAACTGTAAAACATGGTAATGCTTACATATTAACAAATAAAAGAGTTCATTAATTAAATAACAAAGGATGGGAAAAATTAATGAGACAATGCCTTATATTGTTTTTAGAGATCCGATGTTCGTATCCCATAGTGATTGTTTTATAATATTATCTTTCACAACAATGTTGGGCTTAATGGATTGAAAGTACAATGAAGTACATGTTGGGATAGCCATATGTAGCCCCTTAATTTTCAACTTGGTGAATTCGTAATCTGTTCCATCCACTTACAATTTTTGTAGTTGTAGTTGTAGTAATGGAGATAATTCCCATTATTTCAAAACGTATTTAATTTGTAAATTAATAAAAAGATTTGATATATAATCTTTCTGATTGATTTTTAAAACAAAGACAATAAAACTTTATAGTATTATTGAGCTACATAAATCCGGGGTTTTTATAAAATCCCCTAATCGTGACCCAAACCTGAATGACACGACCCGAAGGACTCGACTGGGAACCTAACTTTGGTATAGAAAACAATGACCCGGAATTTACCCAAACTCCGTAACTAACCCGACCCAACCCCAAGAGATAGTAATGAACATAATTATAACCCAATGTGATTCGCCCGAATTGACCCCACCAGAATTAAAAGAAATTACTTAGTTTGGGGATTTTATACTACCTACGTACACATTATATGACCCAAATTTTAACCAAATTAGAGTGAACCAGACCCGAACCCAATTTTTTGCCATGTCTAGAGCGACCAATCGGAATTAGGGCCTGTTGTCATAGGTGTATTCTTATTTAAGTCAAACTTAGAAAATTTCAGTCAAGTTCAGTTCGGCTTATTTCAGTTTTATTTGGTTAATTTGAGCTGAATTCAGCCCTAATAGTAACAACAAACTCACCACAACTTGTTAAATAAAGTATTTTTCCATATTAAAAAAGAAATTTAACAAAAAACTAATTGAACATAGTAAAGGAAAAAAAAAACAATCGATCTAAACACACCACTTGGGAATTATTCAGTAACGACAAACTAACAATAAAATAAATCGATAAACAGACCTAGATCTTTATCCGAAATTGTGTCCTCTTACTCCCATCATTTGGTTTGAAACGCAGTCGATCTTGGTTTGAATCAATTTATCATTCAGCGAAACTCATAACAGTGAAGTTTCTGTGTCCCTTTTCTTAATTAAATTTGTGATCTAGTTTCCCAGTGTATTCAAATCTTAGATCTTTGTTACTCTATTTGGGGATTCTATAACACTCTAGGGTTTTGTTTTCAAATTCGTATTTTTAGGAGTATGATACTGTGTGGTCTCCGACTGATGAGGATAACGCGCTACAGAGGATGAGGAGATATTGGGCGTTGGTACGGGGTCACGTTAGAGGTTTATAATAAAGAGGTGGACGTGGAGGAAGACATAGCGGCGGCTGTCAAAGGTCTGTAACATAATATATTGTTTAGTACTTTGATGTTAGTTTGTTTAAATTTGATTAATTGTAACTATTTCAGTTTGAAGCATAAAATCATAGCGAACAATATTAAGTAAATGGATGATCGGCATGTGTGTTAAAATTTTGATGCTTTGAATCTAATTAAGTAGTATATTTGATATCAACATTAATATAAGAACACTGTTTATAGGAAAAATTAAGGGGAGTATTGCGAGAAGAGAAAATAAACTAAATGTAAGTAGAATGGATGTGTAAAATCTTTTTGTTTTTTTGGATACTAACATAGTTAAGAGTGTACAAATGTGAAGGAATCTTCAATAGTGCAGTAATACAAATTGGTACCAGATATTTTATATAAAGATGTGGTGCAACATTTACTATACAAGATGTGTACATATTTGCTCAGGGATTCCCTGTCTAAAATCTTTGGGTTGTTTAAGTCGAATTATAGAGCATGATGAAGTAACACATTTGATAAAGTATGAGTGGGTTACAGGTGAGGTTGGCTATGTGTACCATGTGTTTAAAATGGTGCATGTGGTCAGGGTTGGGGAGGTAAATAAAACGATACATGTGTAGGTGATATGGTTAGGGGGTAGGAGGTAAATAAAATGAAACTTGTGTGATTAGTTATAAGATGTTCAAAAAAAAAAAACTTGGTTAATAAATTAGCTGTGCATGCTATACCCGTTTTGATTCCATGGTATCTACTCGGTACACCCGTTTTATGTTGTAACTCATTGACAATAAGTTAAAATACTTCTAGTTAAGCAATATCCGCGCTTCTTCTTTGTAGACGCAATGTGTGTACCGAGTTCTGTTCATACGCCCAATTGATATTGATTTGTTCTCTATTACTTTGTATGGTCCGTCTTTTGTTGAAACTCAAATTCGTGTTGTAGAATGCAGTTGTGTGTACTATGTGTTGTAGCAGTTAATGCATTACGAGAGGAAAAGGTGTAAGTAGTTATGCATGTGTCGGTGTCCGGCCAAGTTGGCGGATCCTGCTTTCCCCGCGGTTGTTTTTTGTACCCTGTCTTAGCTAACGACTTGTACCTAGATCCCTTAGGACGACCCCAAGGTTTTTTCCCTAGTCTTGGGATCTTTAATAGGTACATCCTTGTCGTTTGCAATAGATTTTTTTTACTGAAGGAGGGGTTACATTAGCTGCAGCAGTGTTAGACCCGATCACAGATATAGGGATGTTGCGGTTAGGCATATCTGGTGGATTCTGGTTTTCTTGGAAGGCAATCCTAGCCTTTCGGACATCATTGGACAGCTGATTAAGCCTCTCTAACACCATATCACATGTGGCATCATCAATTGTAGAAGCCTCATCACAAACACACTCAAACTTGGTCATCATTCGATTAAACCTTCTACATTCCACTGTCTCGGTAGGGTCATAGTACGACACCTTAACTCTGGTGTGCCTTCTGATAACATCCTTTCTCCACCTGTCTAGAATGTATTTTTGGGGAATCTCAAATACATGATTTTGGTCTAAAATATGTATGCATTGCTTGCACAAAATTCTGAAAGTTTCAATCTTCCTACAATCACAAGCTACTTCCTTCGTTTCCGCATTGTATGTAACACTGTACAACCTACGGCGGTCAGTAATTTTTTCCTGCTTTGATCCTTCAGGAATAACCCAAACCCTGTCCTCTGACAAATACTAGATCACATTGTTTCCTACCTATCGCTCATCCCTGGGGTAAACATAAATCAAACGTGCATACTCCGTTTGAATTTCTTGGAATTTTGTGTCGGTATAAATTTTCTGAAACAGCTTCTCCAACTTAAACCCACTTACAAGACATCGTACATACTTCGAACACCTTGCATCCGCATCAGTTTCATCCTTGATACGCTTGGTCATGGCCCTGTTATACTTCATAGGGCACTCATGTAGCATTGTTTTCCTATTGTCGAAACCATCAAGAAGTTGTTAATACTTTCAACACGTTGAATCATTTTCATTCCTGCCCAGAAATGCTGTTTCATGAAGGCAGGCACCCACATATGCCTCTCATTGTAAAGTTCACACAACCAATCATTGTCCAACAACTTATACTCATTAATGAGGGAGTTCCATCGGCTCTCAAATTCTTCCCTTGTAAAACTCTCATATATTAGAGTCTTCAAGAGGCTTTTAAAGTCGTTGTAGCTGAACCATTTTGACCAACATATAATAAGCATTATGGGTATTGGTGAGGAACACATTATTAACAAACCATTACCAAATGGCAGAGAATTTTGGGGAGGTTGGCAAACCAAAAAAGGAAAAAACATTAGTATTACATCAGAAATTCAGATTACAAAAACCAACACCAGTTGAGCATACAACATAAGTATTGGACTAGAATATAGTGTATGCAAAGTCCTTCAAAGATGATCAACACATTGCTAAATAAATACACTGAATACATACTAGCATGAACCTACAGTTTTATACACTGAATAGATACTAGCATGAACCTACAATTTTATATACTGATTTGCAGGTGTTAAGAACAGAGAAGTGTCCATATGTTTGTTTAAAAAAAAGGAGGTCTATTAAAATAATTTTCTCTAGGAGTGTTACACATTGAAGCTAGATCTTATGAAAGGAATTATGCTATGAAGTATTAGGTACCAGTTCAGATTCACAGCAGACATTTCACCATAAAATTATAGTTTCCTACAATCTTCCTGTCTAGTTTCCACAGGCTTAATGATATGTAGAATGATGCATGTACACTTGCAAGTGCAATAGATGCAAATGATATGAAGTATTAGGTTCTAGTCCACCAAACCTTAGTAAAATAATGCATGTAGACTTGCAAGTGCAAAAACACATACAATGACATGTTATTCTGACATATATCTGAGTACTAGAACAAAAAGAGGAAACACAAACATAAGAAAAATTCCTCGAAATGCAATGACAAAAAAGCATTATACTTGTACATGGTGAAAGAGGCTATATAGACGGTTGAATAGAAAACCAGATCATCACTTACCTATCACACTTCCCGAGCTTCTCAGGAATTTTACGCATTATATGCCAAATGCACCACCTGTGACGAGTAGTAGGCATCTCTAGGGATAGTGCCTTGCGAATAGCAGCCGCTTAATCTGTTAAAATTGCATTAGGTGGGTTGTTACTCATGCAAGTCACCCACTGACGAATGAACCAAGAGTAGGTTTCGGTATCTTCGTGTGACACTAGAGCACACCCTAACAAAATAGATTGTCCGTGGTGATTCACACCCACAATATTCACAAAGGGAAGCTCATACTCGTTGAGATAAGTGGCATCCATTCACACCACATCTCCAAAGTACTCGTAAGCAGCCCTACTTCTTGCATCCACCCACATGACATCTTTCATACGACCATCGTCATCACGACGGTGTGTGTGATAGAAATTAGAATTATCACCTTGCATCTTTTCAAAATAATCCATCATAGCAGCACAATCCCCACCTGCCAAATTCAACCTAGCCCTCCTCTCTTTGTAGACCTCTTGTTGTAAATCCTTAACCGAAGGCCCAATCTTCTGACTTCTATCCAGTCACAAGCAACTAAAAGCTTGAGTAACTGGAACACCTTCATCATAGTAGTTTATCAACTTCTTCCTAACATTGGTTGTCAATTTATTCATGCGATATTCCTTCACTAACTTAGACTTAGTAGGGGAAACTTGGTGGACATGGTCCAATACAACCTTTCTCAACACCCATAGTCCCTCTACATTCACACTAGCATATACCTTGGCATCGCATAAACGTTTCTTTGATGTCCTTTTACAGCGAGCAAGTTCATCCTCCCCAATGACTCCATCAACTTTGCCACCTGACCCACTAACATCCATACACTTTGCCCTCTTGTTCGCTTCCCTTCTAGTCCTAGTATTAGGATAACCCCAACATTCACACCTCCAGGTCATCCCCCGCCTCTCCTTATTCTTCTTCGACGTGTATCCTTGAGCCATAGTAACACCAAATCCTGTTTGCTCATCATATTGTTTATAATAAGACTCAACCTCTTGCCATGATCTAAACACCATACCAACTTTAGGACTTTCTACGGTCGTGTACACAGAAACCTTGTTTGTAGACACAATTGTTTCCACAGTCTCTACGGTCTTCATTGGAGTCATCAAAGAATTAGGGACAACATCTACGGATGCCCCTACCTCACCAACCATCACAGATTCAGGAACAAATGATTCATGGAAAATACTGTTTGAAAGGGGAACAACACTGTCTGACAAGGGATTACTCATGCTTCGATGACTTGTCTTCGCAATCTCACTCGATCCATAGGTGTTCTCTTCCATTACTTACTTAATTTTTTGATAGAAACCTAGGAAGAGGGAAATAAATTCTAATTAACAAACTACAACAATCAATTTAATCACACATTTAAGCATATCAGAACAACAAACCCAATACTATCTTAAGTAAAAGTCTAGTTAAGTAATTTTATTCAAATATATAAGCAAACCCAATACTATCACATTTTCTAATTTTTATTAAATTTGGACAAACTGGAATCAAAATGGGGTACCAAAGACAGTTTAATAGACAATAAACTACGATTTCTTATGATTACCAATCCTATCATTACATCACTATACTATTTTGCCTTTTTCAAATATGAATACCCTATAATTTTGGGATAATTAACTACATTTTTTCCTGCATTTCCATATATATCTACAATTTCATGGTAACTAACATAATCAACGACATTCATAAGCACTATTGTTAATCAACAAAATTGTTACGCAAATCACAGCTTTGAACTTAAATCATCAACATAACAGGTACATCCGACTTCTTATAACAATTAGGTAAGCAATTTAATCAAATCCATAATATACAATCTTCTACCAGACCCACCACATTTTCGATTTTAAGGAAATTGAGTCAAAATATTGTACACAAAGCATTTTCATTACAATATAAGACATCATAGGATTGCATCAATAACCTCCTATACAGAAGAATTGGAGGAAAAGTCATCCTATCCGCTCAACACGATTTCACGAACAAATCTACTCCAAAAATTACATAGATTTAACTACAATTAACGCAATTAAATTACCTGGGATTACGACTTCTGAATTGAACTTTTGTTAGGAGAAAAACTTTCTTCTAACTCATCTTCCACACCTTCGGGAATAGCTGGGTGATTGTCGTGAAGATGGCTACGTCGTATGAAATTGAGTTCTGAGTCGAAAGAGACAGCATACTGATCCAGGAGAAAGTTTGTAATTTAGCCGTTAATGTATCATGTAACCCCGTTAATTTTCCGTTACTAACGGCACTTCTCTGCTGTTAGTGAAATACGAACAATTTAATAAAATAATAGTTAAAAGGACAACATATGGGCCACATCAGCTACTGATTGACGAATTTTTGTCAATCAGGCTGATTGCCTGAGTCCTCCTCTTATTCAACCTAAGGTAATTATTGTTTAAATCATTAAATAAATTACTTTAACTTGAAAAGGGTGGGTGAAGAGCCTACAATAAGAGATTATGAACGAAGTTTTCCATTGATTTTGTACTCCATGAAAAAAGGGAAAAGCGATTATACGAAGCCAAAATTTTGATTATTTCTTAATGGATTGGAAAACATTAGGCGTAAAAAGATTTGGGGAAGAAAGAAACTTGTCAACATGCTCTACAGATTTTACTTTGTAAAAAGATGAACTATGTTTTTGTATGTACTCATTAGATTTGGGGAAGAAAGAATAAGACATGGAGCACTTATTTAGGTTTGATGTATGGTACACAGTAGCTATTTATTGCCCATGTTTTGGAAATTTTCATTTTTACAATTTTTCGTTTCTTTTTTATTCTTCGAGAAATGCAAGTTTCAATGGCTGCCATTGTTTACTGTTTCTCAATTAATTTTCAATTTTTTGCATGCCATGAATGTCATCGTTTTCCTTATTTTTTTTTTTACTATTTAATATCTACTCTTTTGCTTTGCTAATCCTTGAGTCTTAATTTGAATATTATTGGTTGCTTTTTGTATGAAGCCAAAATTTTGATTATATGATGATCAATTTAATTATGAAATTAAACAAATATAAAAATTAATTAATTTGGATGAGTCTTAATTTGAATAATATTGGTTGCTTTTTGTATGAAGCCAAAATTTTGATTATATGATGATCAATTTAATTATGAAATTAAACAAAATATAAAAATTAATTAATTTGGAAAAGAAGCAAAAAAAAAAAAAAAAAAAAAGCTTTTGAACAAATTAATTTAACCAAACTAGAGTTAATGACTTGATGACTGTTTAATGACTTGATGACTGTGTTAATGACTGTTTTGTTAAGGTATCGAATTAGACGTCTAGGATTAGTCATTGAAAAATAAACGAATGAGATTTAATCTCTTATTGTAGTCGACCATAGTCGTTTGTAATCGACCGTTGTCGACGACTACGGTAGAATTTTTATTGATCTCTTATAAATAGGGCCGTAGACCTCCGTTTTCAAAGGACCCAGAATTCTCTAATTATCTCTTTAAGCAATATAACTTATTGTTTCTCCCTCTAGCTTTTCTAAACTAGCTTTTTCACAAACACCATACTGCATTCACAAGTTCTAGACACACCTAGCCAAGCTCGAAGTTGCCTTCGCCCTAGACGTGAAAGTTTGATAATTTCTAAGGGTTTGGTCCCAAATCCCTATTTTTATTATTTAATTGTTTGATTTAATATTTTCCTTGTAGTTACTAACGTGTGTATTTCGTTATTAGAAAGAGATACGAGGCATCCAAGTAAGTAATTACTTTGTTATTCTTTTGATATAGAAATCATGCTTTAATTATTTTAATTCTTAGTATCATGTTAGGATGTCCTTTTGATTTCA